ATGTTATTTTTATTGAGTATTTAAAAAAAATCAATCGCAAATTATGTGCTTCATTGGTTGCTTATATTAATTATATATTAATACTGGATCGCCTCGCTCTCTTGTTAGTTGATTTGTAATTATTTAGTGATATTCCCGACTTAATTACATATTCGTCTTGGATATACCTATATTAGTTGTTTTTGTGTTACTATTTGGACATTTCATGGGTCCAAATAAAAAAAAATCGTATAGAAAATACAAATACTTAATGAAAAGGCTCTTAGGAATAATATTAAGATTGTTAGTGAAGAAAAAATAGCCTTTCATCGTACTTTACAAGCTGTATTTAATCAATTTACTTGAAACCAAGAGCAGGGAATAATATTTAAGCTTCTTCGTTCTTATTAAAAAGCTCTACCTGTTGACCCAAAAAAAAAAAAAAAAATTCATTGGTTCCTATAAAGAATATTCTATCAAACCCCTATATTGGCCCTTGTATAAAAATGTCAAATAATTCAAAAGACAGAAAGCACAAGAAAATAGTAAATAGCAAATAAAAACCTCCATTGATTTTTCTTAATTAATGTTGATTATCTAAAGAAGTTTTAATTTATTTATTTATTTTGAGAAATTATATTTCGTTTCGTTTACAAACAAATTTATTGATATATTATATAAGAAAATAGAAAAATTTCCAGATATTCAAATATATTATCTATTTTAAAAATGTTTCTTAATTCTATTATTTATTTTAATATTTAATCTATAATTGTGTCAAAATTTAACTTTCAGTCTTCTTTCTAGATTACTGAAATTAGCTGAAATGTTGAAACTAATTTATTTTATATGTAATATAGGTATTTTTTCTTAATTTTAAGTTTATTTTTGTTATTATTATAAATATATAATCTGTTAAACAATAAATGTTAATTCTAATATCACATTTTAGACTCCGAATACATGAATTACTTACCCTGATAATTTATGATCTTTATATGGTTTGGAATTTAATAAAACAAATACTTAACAATTTCATAAAAGTCATATCTAAATTAATCTTGTAGGAAAGCTAATAAAAAGTTAGAATTATCTCTAATAAGTTGCTTTGGAGCTGCCTGATAGACATAAAAAATAACTTTGGACCATCTTTTGATCAAAGAACTTAACAAAATATTTGTTAGTTACGTATTTACAGACATAAATCATTAAAAATGTAGTTTACTACTAAACTATTCCTTAAAACCGGATATTTTAGCACCCCATAAGCCTTTAATATATAAACACATTATCCTGACCAAAAAACAACCATAACAATATAAGTAATTCAGAAATAGCCTTCCCAAAGCAATTACTCTTAGCTTTTTACATAGACGAATTACTTACTTTAGAAATATTAAGTAGGTACTTTACTACAAAATTATCCTTTAAAATTCGATACTTTAATACATCAAATCCTTACACACATCAAAATGAATTACTGCTTTGAAATTTCATTGATTGCATAATTGGCTTAAATAAGTAAAAAACCAAATTTGGTAAATATTCACAAAACTTTTATTTTAAAAAAATAAAAATTAAAAAATTAAAAACACTACACATGACATGTTTCGAAGTACAACTTCTTTTTCAAATGTGACTAATTTACAATTCGGTGTCCAATATACAGTGTGTCGCATTTAAGATGAAGACACCCCTATATTTTGTCTATCTAAATAAATACAGATTTGAAGTTTCGCATAGTAATACAGGGTGATGGTTCATATTTTTTAAGATACTCAACTGAAATTTAAATATTAAACGCGGCCTACTGCGAATCCACAAACAGGGTCAATTTTCGATATTTTTCTTCGCGTTGGAGATATCAGAAAAAGTTATTTGAAAAAGTTGTTCAGAATATTATTCTAAGCCCACATACCAAATTTCATGACAAAATTCGCATTTTTAGTTTTTTCATTATTTTTGTCAATACACAAAATTATTAAATGTTGATTTTTTTATTCGATAAGCTAGTGTGCCATGGATAGGAATAATTTGATACTTGTGAAATCATTAATGTCAAAAACAACCTTAAAATCCAAAGAGTCCAGAAACAGCCTTTCCAAAATAATTACGCTTAGCTTTTTGCACAGAAAATGAATTACTTTGAAAATTTTATTAATCATAAATTTTTAAAAATGTAAATAATAAATAATCCGATATTTTAACACCCCTTTACACCTTAAATACATCAATACATTCACCTAATCAAAAACAACCATAAAAATCCCAGTAGTCTAGAAAAAGAGCCTTCCCAAATTAATTACGCTTACATTATTTGTATAGATGAATTACTTACTTTCAAAATTTCATAAATTACATAAAATTTTAAAAATCTAAGTACTTTACTACAAAATAATCCTTTAAAACTCAATATTTTAACACCCCATAATCCTTAAACACATCAACACATCCTCCTGACCAAAAACACCCATAAAAATCCAAGTAGTCCAGAAACAACAGCCTTCCCAAAACAATTACGCTTAGCTTTTCTTTCTCCACACACACTTCTACGACCCAAACGTCTATCTATCCGTAGTTCCGTGCTATAGCATCGCAGTAAGCCTGTGCACAGCCACAGCCGGCGTAAAAAAGAAGAACACAGAAACGCGAAGCGCAAAAAAGCGCAAAAGTGGGCCTGTCGCTACCAGCTGGCGCACGCGCATCGCCGAGCATGGCCGGCGGGGCGGTAATGCGATCGTTTCTATGGAAACGGCCCTCCTCCTTAGCGCCCGAGCGACGAACTCGCTTGGAGGGGGAGCGGGAGAGCGCGCGCCGCGCTAGACGGTCGCGGACGGTCGGGCCTCCTGCGGCGACGTTGCCGCTTCTACGGGAGTCCCCAGATATAAGGAAATTTCGAGCGTTTTAAGCGTATAATCAACTGTTAAAGGTTCCAACGTCTTAATTTGTAACTCTTTTAACACTTGAGCGTCTAAATATTCTTAATTTCTCGATATTTTGTATCCTTTAACTCTTGAGACTTTATGGAGCAAATCAGTATCCTTGAGTTGTCAAATATTTAGTCGTACATTAATTAATTAATTAATTAATAGAGCTTCTAAAGACCCTTTAACTTTCTAGCTTTTTAAATATATGTAGCGCAAATTCTCGAATTTTATGTGCCCTTAATAACTCTCGTGCAACTATGAATGCATCCTTTAACTCTAGAATAAATTAGTGTCCTTTGATTTCATAGCATACAAATGTATTGTGTATTTTTTCCTTGATAATTCTCAAATCAATAAGAAAGTATCCAACCACCTATGAATTGCTTATTTCTTGATATATTACTTAACTCACTTGATTTTTCATTCTAGAATTATAATTTTAACTTTTTCTGTTTTTATGCGTTCATGAGTTAATTTAACTATAATATAATCAATTACGTCTTTATCTTGTTAGAGAAATAGATTTAAGATAAGTATGTTTTTTAGATACATCGAGGTCTAATCTGGCAACGTTGCTGTGTGATAAGGCTGGTGGAATAGTCATATTTACTATGTTATTACATAATTTAGATATTTGATATTCGTCAACATTATTACTTAAATGTTATAAAGCAAAAACAAATAAACAAATTTCTTGATTAATTATTTTAGATATTTTTCAGATATATTTTAGCACGAAAATATTTTAATTATATTCAAAATACTCGAAATTTAACCAGAAACATCTGCCATTACTTTTATGACATTTTGATTGACAGTTAAGTGGATTTTCGTATAGCATAAACTTTTTAGTAGCTCTATAAGATTTTAATTAAGTGTTTGGAATTTACTTAACCAAATACCTACATGCACCAGTTCTTTGAATTATTTCGAAAATATATCCGGGGAAGTTTGAGTTAAAAATTTGCTAATTTTACGTTTGGTTTCAAAAAAAAGGGGAAACTAAGTGTAAATCAAAATCAATTTTAAATTATTGCAGAAGCTGTTAAGTTTACTTCAAAAAGTAAGAAAATCTTTATGAAAAATTCGCGATACAAATAAAAGCAGAATACAAATAGATGGCGCTGCAAAATGTCAAAGTCAATTCCCATAAGAGTAGTGGTAACTGTTTAGGTGTTTTAGACTGTTTTTTTTTTATATAAAAATTGATGTTTTTAAGGATTTAAATTCTTCCTACTATTTATTTTGACGAGTATTATGTTTTACTTCAAAAACAAAACACAAATCAATGGTTGTGTACATCATTATCAACTTTAATCATTCCATATCAATAGTATGTATATATCAGATCTAAAACTGAGCTGTCAAAACAAAAAAGAAGTTTTGATACTTGGTCTCTTACTCTAAAAGGCATTAGCTACTTAAATGGGAGACTTGTAAGAGCTTTTGGAGACTAACAGAAGATAATAAAGAAGTGACGCATCTACGAGATAATCTAGTTCGATCAAAGACCCACCAAAAACTTAATTTGATTCTGTTTGATTCACTTAAGTCAACAGATCTGATGTATTAAGGGATAGATGCTAGGTTAAGTAATATTAAAACAGTATTTTTGTTTAAAATGTCTGTTGCAATCATCAGTAACAGGCGAATAAGAGTGAAGGGAGAGATATTTGGAGGGATTACACAAAATGTTCTTGTGTTTAATATTTTAAATTAAGTCTAAGAGATTTTGGGCCTATGTCAACAGTAAAAAAATAATTGCAAATATAGCAGAAAATATTAAGAAAACCGTATTTAGACATTTATACAGATATGACTAGAGCATTTGACGTTTTGGTTTAAAAACCATTTACAATAGGTTTAAGTCTTTTAGGTATACTGTCACATCAGGTGTTCCTCAAGGGTCGAATCTTAACCCGTTCTTGTTCAATCCGTTAATAAATGAATAAAATAAAACTTAGACACCCCATCACTCAAAAAAATTCTGCAGTAAGTGAATTTAGAGTATTCTTTCCTTGACTACTTGAATGTTTCAATTGGTATATTTTAAAGCCCGTATATTTGGTTAAGCATAGAAAATATTCGACTTACCCGGACTGCCCAGGAAGACTGATGAATATAAGACACCTCTTCGCGCGGCATCGCTTGCCGCTCGTGCATCCGTGGGCGATGACCATTCTCTTCGCGGACACCATTTTCCTGCAACAGAAAAAAAAACAATAAGTACATTGTATGGAAACATCGAAGATCGTATGTAAAGGTATAATGAATAGTGTCACTGTACCACTTCTATAATATTTCAGGTAAAGAAATTAGGTATATAATTAAGATGGGAATAAATTTCAAATCCAAATACCAGCCTGAGAATCCTGGACACAGGATGAACTGGTCAGGTATATAGAATGTTTGAGTCTAGGAAAATATACAACAATGTTCCAGACCAAACTGATAGCCATACAACACTGTACAAGATAAATCTTATATCAGCAACCATCAGGCAAAACTATTGCCATCTTCTCTGACACCCAAATCACCACTGTTGAAAGGAAAAGCCTAAGCAGTCAATACAAAGGGACATTAGGCTGGATACTTGGCCACGAAGGACACCAGAGCAATGAACATTACTATAAACTAGCCCAAAAAGGCTCAGATAAGACCATGAGAGGTCCCGAGCCATTCTGTGGAGTTTCTAAGACATTGTGCAAGTCATCAATCAAATAGTGCCTGCAAAAAGTTCCAAGAATGATGGAGCAACTCTTCAGGATTGATACAGGCCAGAAAGTACATTAAGGAACCATCATCCAGAAACGAAAAATCGTTAGGATAGCAATAGGTCTTCTTACTGGATACTGTCGCCTTAGTAGGCATGTGCGTGTCATGTATCCAAAGAAGAAGGCACATTCTCAGGTTATGTGAGGAACATCATGCACCAGGTGAAAAAAGTCAAAACTATGTAAATATATGCGAGAGACTCTGTCAAAGATAATGAAAAATACCCATTCTAGACGACACATGTCCAACTTCTTTTTAAATCTAATCTAAGACTGTTTCTCTTCACTTTAAACTGTGAAGAGTATAATAAAAAATGCCGAGCCTTAGATATCATTATTCAAATAAGTGTGAAAGGTCACATAGTTTTAGTATGGATTATATTTGATAAGTTATAGCTAAGTCAGCTCAGTAGTGTACTAAATTGAAAGTAGATTGCACAATGGGCTTAGAATTGACCCCTGGGGAACTTCAGTATTATTCATTAACCATGACCTCTTTTCCATGGCAGTTATTGATAATCTAATATTAAACAATTGTTAGTAGCAGGATCAGTACTCGAGATCTTTCAATATTCTTCAGATTTCCGAATAATTTTCAAGGTGAAATAAAAAATCAGTGGGTTCAAGGCACACTATGTGTGTTTGTGTGTATAGTGAATTCGATAGAAAACAGAAGAGAATCGCTCTACGGCTGGCAGTAACAGATCCCGGAAATGAACGACAATGACAGTGACAGAGCGTTTCTCTTCTCTCTAGTAGGCGAACACAAATCGATGGAAAACAGATGACGGTTCAATAGAGCGATTCACGGCCGACTGCGTATACCCTGCAAGGGATTCTTTTCCACTCATCTCGTACTCTACAGGGCGATTATGAATGTGTCCGATAAAATTCACAAGAATTACACAATTTAACTGAATTTTCAATTAAAAATCAGTGGCGCAGCGGGATCGGGAGGACAAGGGGGTCAACGGCAGATTTTAAAAAATATTTGGGTTATGTATTTTAAAACCATCATATACAGTGTGTCCGAAATTGGTGATGCATGTATTGCTATCTCCGAAACTGTTAGAGATAGAAAAACAGTTAAATAGGGAAAGTTTCAGACAATTTTGTTTATAATTCAATTCCGTTTAGTTTGAGATAAAAATCCAATATGGCGCCCATATGAAAAAACAAAGTTAATGATGGTTCCAAGAAACCGAAACGTTGCAAATAAAATCTGACGACACAGGCCTTTTCTACGTAAAAAGTTGCTCTTAGAAAGTTTTTACAGATTTTAGAAATTTTCATAAATAAAGAAAATACAGGGTACTTTCGGAAATGCGTCATTTTAGTTTTTTCAAAATATCTCAAAAATCAAGAGAGAAAAAATCTCAAACTAAACGGAATTGAATTATAAACACAATTGTCAAAAATTTTCCCCATTTAACTGATTTTCTATCTCTAACAGTTTAGGAGATCGCAATACATGCATCACCAATTTCGGACACACTGTATTTACAATATATAGATAGGGATTTTATAAAATCTTAAGGCTTTCATTCCATCACTCCTCTCACTATTTAAACATTTTCAAAATGGAACGGTTATAACTTATAACAAATATTTAATGTAAATTTCTTTTATTTTTCTTTTTTTTTTCACCTCTATAACTTGTTTTTATAATAAACCTGCCATTGCTCATAATTTGTCACTTAAGATATTGATACGATAACAAACAGTCCTTCAAACATTCTTTAAAGCATCCGCCTAGGTATTTGAATATATTGTTATTAAATATATTTATTTTATTTATAATTATTATAATTTAACCATTCTAAATTGTAAATTGTTCTATAAATGGGTTACTGTTGGACAATAAATTTATTATTGTTAAATTTCTTATTTGATACTCCTAATAGATGAATTACTTACTTCCTTACTTAGTCCATGAAAATTGATGGTATTTATATGGTTTGGAATTTAACAACTTTTTAATAACTTTTTAAAAGTCATATCATATTTTGTAAGAAATCTACTAAAAAGTTTGAATTATCTCTAATAAGTTGTTTTGCAGCTGCGCTGTAAGTCTGACAGACATCAAAACAATATGAATTCTAAAACCATCAAATTTTCTTCTCAAAATTTAGGATCAAATAGAATTTTGAACTATATCAATGTGTTTTAAGTTTTCTAGGAAGTTTGATATGAAATTTATAATAAATTTTTCAATATTTATTGTATTATTTTACCAAATGGGAAATATTTTCATACCTCTACCATTATAAATCAAATAAAATTGATTTTCAATGTTTGCATCATTTAAATAAATTTCGATAATTACTTTTATAATTTGCCAGCAGTTAAAAGTCTAGCAGGCTATTTTAATGCATCACTTAATGGATTTGAATTGTTAATTCGTATAAATTGTAGAGTAAAAAAGTACGCAATAATAGTTTTGTATAAGTACAACAATTATAAAATTTTAAAGTGTTTGTTATTTAAAAATCGATTTTTGATTCAAAATTTTAGAAAGAGAAAGGTAGAGAGCTTGAATAATTTTAATTGTATCGTCATATTTGTATGTTTTAAAGAAGAATAAATTAAAGGAATAAATTAAAAAGAACGAATTAAATAAAAGAATTAATTAAGAGAATCAATTAAAAGAATCAATTAAAAAATTAAAATAATGAATTAAAAGAATGAATTGAATTGAAAGAATGAATTAAAAGAATTACTTTAAATAATTAATTATAGAATTAAAAGAACAAATTAGAAAAACGAATTAAAGGACTGAATTAAAAGAACGAATGAAATAAAAATTAATTTAGAGAATATAAAAGAATGAATTAAAAGAATGAATAAAAGTATGAATTAAAATAATGTATTAAAATAATGAATTAAAAGAATGAATTAAAATAGTGAATTAAAAGGTTGAATTAAAAGATTTTTTTAAAAGAATGAATAAATTGAATTTAAAAAAATGATTTACAAGTATGAATTAAAAGAATGATTTAATACAATGAATTAAGAGAATAAATTAAAGGAATGAAATGATGAATTTAAAGAATAAATTAAAATAATGATTAATAGCATAAATAAATTAAAATATCGAAATAAAAGAATGAATTGTTTCGTGTCGTTTGAACCATACGGTATAATAATATATTGATAGAGAAAGTAGAGTGTTGTAACAGGTAACAGTCTCGAATATAGTGGAAAGTGATGGTGGGCCAGTCTCTGTTGATTACACAGCTGAAAAACGCTACCCGTAATTAATTCAAATGTGTCCCGGTTCCCAATTAGCGATACAGAGACCGCGAGTTGACTGTCACTGACGCAAATTGTGATGAATCATTACTGCTAAATCAAAGAATATTACTGCGCTCAGCTAAACATTACTTCATAAATTTAATCTGTCACCTCGGCCATCTATTCTCTTTACCGACTATTATTCGTCCTTTCTCTACTGACAACATCCACGCGCCAATTCACTGCATATCTCTCTGTCTTTCTCTTTATCACTACCTTTTTTTGGATTATTTTTCTCTTTAATTATTGCTTTCTTTTTTTACCTACTTGTTAAAAACTGACTTGAATGAATGATGTACGACAATTCCATGCATAATGTTTGAGACGAAATAGATTGGAAATCACCACTATTCTATAAACAAGCATAGTCATTGCAAGGGCGGCTCCAGGGGGGAAGGGGTTATAGGGGCCATGGCCCCCCCCCCCCCGAGAAGAAAATTCTTACATTTTATGAGCCTTTTATTCAAAAAAATATGCTAAATAGGGACTATCTAAAGGCAATCCCCCCCCTTGGAGCCGCCCTTGAGTCATTGTTGCCAGTTGATCAGAATTTTACTAAAATCTTATTAAGCCTTGAAATTTAGGATTTAATTATATTAAAATTGAGGCTTTTTTTGCAATATCTTGCGATATTTCTAGGATTAAACAAAAGTTGTTTTAGATAGAAAAAAGCATGCAAATTAATATTTTGATTAACTTATTTTACATTGTTAGACTAATAAACTCCTGGACAAAATTAACGCACCATTTAACGCACCACTTATATTTTGCTCAATAATCTTCATTTATTGTTATCTTACTGTACGACAAGTAGGCCATGGACCTTGTTTGACAGTGACAGTTGTTTTTTAAGCTAGCTAGTGTCACGTAATACCTTGTTTTGACAGTAGTTCGTATTAAACCTCGTTTTAGACTAAAACTGTGTTAACATTTTCTTAAAAAGTGATGATTAAAGTAAAGTTTCTGTTAGAAGCAAGCTGTTGATTGTAATTCTTTTTATTACATGCATGTTTGGAAGTTCATTTGGGAGAATATCAAGTAAAAAAAAATGAACCGTCAAAGAAATCTGTCACTGGAGGAGGCAGTGCGAGCATCAACTCTCCTGAATGAAGGGTATTCAATGCGATATATTGCTGGTTTGTTAGGAAGACATCATTCCAGCATAAGTCGCATAGTGAGGCGATATAATGAAACGGTTCGTACCATCGAAGACCAGGACAAGGGCGAAAACGTTGCACTAATCAAATTGATGATCATTTCTTGAGACAACGTGCTCTTAGAGACAGGACCAGCCAAAAAACCCTTGCTTACCAGAGAACACAAAGTTCAGAGATTACATCAGAATTGAACCATCAATGATTGGAAACGGGTTCTGTTCTCCGATGAAACTAGAGTTGGCCTTAAAGGTCCAGGTGAGCATATCTGGCGAAGACAAGGAGAAAGGTTTGCCAGCTGTAACATCTCTCCTAAAGTGCCTTTTGGTGGTTGCTCTAAAATATTTTGGGGAGGAATTTGTTTCGCTGATCGTACGGAGTTGGTCCCTATACGTACGAGGTCTATGAATGCCCAATATTACTTAGACAACATTATTGTCGAACATGTAATGCCTTTTGCTGCGTTTGTTGGGTCCAATTTTTTATTCATGCAGGACAACGCTCGTCCCCACGTGTCTAGACAGGTTAGTGGTTACTTACATGATGTTAATATTCCTTTATTTGAATGGCCACCTAACAGTCCGGATATGAATCCTATAGAACATCTATGGGACTATTTCAAAAAGAGGATTCGAAGTCATAGACCCCCTGTTTCTAATCACAACCAACTCATAGAAGTCGCTATTGAAGAATGGGAGAATATACCGCAAGCTTTTGTTGAACATTTGATATCAAGCATGCCGCGACGCATGAAAGTAGAGGAGGGCCTACGCGGTATTAGGGTTGACCCAGATGCATTTATTCTCTTTTACTGATTTTTTTTTTATTTTTTCAATTTGGAGTTATGCTAGCTTATTTATGCATTTCCAGCAAAAACAAATTTTTATGGAAAAAAATAAGGCAAATTAAGGTCATGTAAAGGTCATATTCGACTAATTTTTAGGTGTTCATCATTATTTCAATGTAACTTAGTTTTATGTTGTGTTTATATTGTAAATATTTAGATTAATTAAAGTAGGGCGTTAATTTTGTCTATGAGTTAAGTTGGAATAAGGTACGTAAACCTTTTTTTATTAATACGTATTAGTAAGTAACTTAACTGGTGTTTCAGATAGTGAAATATCTTCACTTAGACATTCTCCTGGGATAGTTGTTATTTGAAACCATATAAACGCATGGACGCCATGATGTAATTACATTAGAAACCGGTATAATCGAGCCAAATTTTCAATTTTGATATATATTTCCAAATTTTTCCGTTTCTTTTTCATATTCATAAATTATTAAATTGTATTTTAATTAAATACAGGTTATTATAACTATTACAATTTGAATATATTTCTTTTAAATTTTAAACCCAAAAATAGGGGAATTAACACCCACCCTAGCAATCCTTAGCAATCGACTGAATGAACAAATCTTACACAAGACTTTCTTCTAATTATTGGTCCGTGAACTTGGCACCACAGCATTGCAAAAAAAGTGCAAAAATTTGTGAGAGGATTTCCCATCATTTGCCCATTATTGCCAATACAATAACTTTTTTTGCACACCCTCTGTTTTTAAAATACTGGACAAAATTAACGCACCACTTTAATTAATCTAAATATTTACAATAAAACTAAGTTACATTGAAATAATGATGAACACCTATATATTAGTCGAATACCTTTACATGACCTTAATTTGCCTTATTTTTTTCATAAAAATTTGTTTTTGCTGGAAATGCATAAAAAGATGGGCAACCATCAATATGATGCCAGAATAATTGTAAGTCTACAAGGAATGTATTCTGAGGATTGCCCATTTTCTAAAAAAAATCCCTAGTCCAATAGGGGTTTGACAATTTCATTAAAAGTGATTTAAAAAAATAACGAATTAATGAAAAAATAATTACAAGTCAGTAAAAAATGTATTTTGACCTTCAATTAAAAAAAAATCTTCAGAATACATTTTTTGTGACTTAAAATTACTATTTTATCAATTCAATATTTTTCCAATAAACACGTTTTAAAATCACTTTTAATGAAATTGGACTCGGAATTAAAAAAAAAATGGGCAATCTTCAGAATACGTTCCTTATTGGAAAAACTAAAAAATGGCAACATGGGCAAACGAACGATTACCTAATGCAATTATCATATTTCATTTTTGTAAATATTTTTTTTGTTATATTTTTAATTTGAATTTTTTTCCAAGAAACAACGTAGGCTAATAAAATGCTATTATTCTATGGAATTAAATCATCAAAACGTTTACTTTTGTTTGGAAGTTGGCTAGCGAAAATTATTTTCTTATTTTGAAAACAGAGGGTGGGCAAAAAAAGTTATTTTATGGGCAATAATGGGCAAAAGATGGGCAATCCTCTCACCATTTTTGCAATGTTGTAGTACCAAGTTCACGAACCTTCTAATTATCTTTGAAATAGATTGTTGGTAAGTTTCTAACATAAATAGTACGGCCCTACGATGTTTCTAAACCCACAAAATATCAATGTTCTATGAATATACTAAGAACGTTCTGTTTATGTTCTTTCTGGTATGTTCTTTCTAGAATGTTCTTAGAACATACCTAATATATATACTTTGAAAGTATATTCTAGAAAGTATATACTGAGTAAGTGCCTTTAGCACGTGCTATAACAGAACATTCTAAGAAGATACTTAAAGTCATATAACCAGCATGTATCTCATATTCTGAGAACGTTCTAAATGCTTACAGGTAAAAATTAATACCAAATACATGTAAAAAAACGTTTATATACATATCTATATGAATTTTTTCCAGATGCTGATCTGATAATTCGCTAGGTAACGCACTAATGTTAAGTGTTCAGGCCAAAAAACATTCACAAACATAATAAAAGAGAATAACATAACCTAACATTTTTTGATCGCTTCGAATAGGTAAATAAATTAATAAAAATCAATTGTATCGTGTGTTCTATATAAAAATAAACAAATTTTATTATGTTTTTAGTATTTAGGACCTACAAGTGATGTTAGAACACAGGTTATTCAAAATATTAATTTCCCGAGTGAATTTAATACTAATGGCGAATTGAAACTAAAATACAGCGTTACCAGAATTACATACACACTTTCTAAGAAAAAAATCCTGTAAGGCAAGAAATTGACCTGGAAGAACTAAAAAATTAGCTAAAGGATAACAAAAACTACAAAATGGTGGTAAGTAATTAACAAAAATATATTTAAATTTTCACTAAACATAATTTTCATGTATGCAACTCTTGTTTTTATTGGTGGAATATGCCATGTACAATTTTTAATTTGTATATGTACAAAGATTGTTGATTTTTTTTAGGTTCAATAAAGATCCAATGTAAGCAAGCAAATGTAATGCAAGCCATCGATACAATAAACTATTGGTTGGTTAAGACCAAATAAAGAATTTGTAATAAGAATAAGTATTAATTTTCGGAAATAAAGATTTAAAAAATGTTTACGATTTTCATTATATACACTTATTCTTTAATGTTCAATATTAATAAAACATCCTATATTAGGGTGTCTAATATATCGCTGTCCCAGTTCAAAACTGTAACATCTCAATAATTTTAGGGTTTGAGACTAGAATGCATTCTTAGCAAGCAGGGTAAGGTCTATTACAATAATTCAACACTATAATATCTCAAAATATTTATTTTTCTATTTTAATAATAAATTACAAATAAATAAAAAAAAATCTTTAAAGTAATTTATCTCAAAATTTTGAGATGTTACACTTTTGAACTGAAATAGCGATATGCCTAGTATATGCTAAATTTAAACACTTCATATCATATACTTAGAACGTACTATCAAATGAAAGTAGATACTTATTGCATACTGTATACATACTTGAAGTACATTCTCAGTATCTGCGTAGCACGTATAAACAACGTCCCGTAACATATACTTAGTATATTCTGAGAATGTACTAAATGCAAATAAAGTATATTCTGTGTCTAAATTCTTATATTATCAGTTCATGAGTCGTAATATTCAATTTTTGTTGCAATAGAAATAAGTATTGATATACAGGAATATAATTTTGATATACAATTCCATCATAGTCTTTGACCAAACAGAGCTGAATCCCAAAAGAAAATTAAAACTTAAATCAAGAACTTTACCCACACTGTATACCAATAAAATTATAATATTATAGTTGGGCAAGACCGTTTTCAAATAAGTTGTTGGTTATAGCTGCCACCCAATTTGAAACCGTTCCCAATTAACAATCGTCTTGCGATCAGTTTTTCGAAATATCAGAAAGTCAATAACTCCTATAAAACTTGGATAAATGATATATCTAGACCACCTCGAGCACATTTCTACTTTTTTAGATCGTCCGATCAATCCATCCGTACGTAAACTTGAAGAGTCCGCGTCTCTCGAATCCATACAAATAGAGCAATTTATCGAAACGGAAAAAACTGCACTGCAGCTCTAAATTTGTAGACACGGTCAACCGGCAATCGTAAATATATACAGAGAGTCTTGTATAGAGACGTCCGCGACTTTTTGCCTTCAACCACGGAGCATCTTGCATCGAGAACATCATTTTGATATTTTACTGAAAGAGGCAGAACTATTAAATCTTCTGTTGGACCGTTCGGCTGACCGACTACTCTGAAATTACTTAATTATCATTTTGAAACGATTGATTCTGATGCGGGGGAAAAAAGTTTGCGACAATGGTCGTGCAATTAAAAGTGAAGGTGGAGTCAATGTATGATGTTTTACTCGGTCGTCGGTTGTCTTTTTTTTTTTCATTCGACTCGGCGGTACCTTAATAGTAACCGGTACTTATTGAATCAATGTCGTAATTGAAAACGTGAAATGCGTACCGGGGTGCTTCGGTAATTTCATTAAAATATTTCTGAGCAGCCAATATCTTTATCAATTAACTTAGTATTTTTTAATAAAAAAAAAAGAAAACTCAGTCTCAATTGGATTGGAATAAAAAAAATACAAGTCCGTTAATGCTAAAATTAAGTACAGTAACCCTCCAACTCCAACTTTTCCCCGAGTATATACCAAAGTATTCCACAACTATAAAACACTACAAAAACGGTTTCGCCGCAAAATCCAATAACTCGAAGAATTCGTAATTACGCCATAGCGAACGGCGGCGCTATCCCATTCCGACCCGCTAACGGGCTGCCGGGGGGGACAAAGGGGAAAGCGAGAAGCGAGGGGGAGCAACGGGGAGACCCGCAAGGGCAGTCTTTCATCCCGGCGAACCATCATTCTTGTTCGCTATTGGCTCCTTGCCTCCCTTCAGACTTGCATCTGCTGTCGATGCGATTCGTAAATCAAAATTGCGACGCTGAAACGACGCCGCGTACCCTTTCACGTCGTCGGACCTGTCGCAGGACTCGCAGGACTGGCAGGACTGACGGAACGACGCAAGTGCTGCCGGGAGGGCCGTCCCGCTGGGACTGCTGGCCCTTTCGCCATTCCGTACAGTCGAGCGAGATTCCTGCCTGTAATTCTAATTTGCCGACTAGGTATGTATACGATGGATATTATCATAATTATGCCGTTCTAGATGAGTTTTTGAGCGGTTTATGCTCATCGAAACGAACGATTTTGGTCGTTATGAACATCTGGACGCTTTGGAGGGAATAAAAATGACTGGGATAGTTTTCTAACGCTTTTTTAGTCGCAAAATGAACTTCTTCAATATCAATCATATCAATATTCATTTGCCAGTCACTTCTGAGGCGGTGTTTAATATTACAAAAAACTTGATGATATTTCATTTATAGTTAGAAATTGTGCAGGATATATAGTTTAACCTTACATTAAAAATCCTAAAAGAGTGGAAACAAGCCAAGATTTGTCCAATATATAAGAGTGGAGACAAGTATAATTTTTCGATAGCCTTTGACCATGTTTCCCCTTTATCTTAAAGCAGATTTCTTTTTCACAATAGAGATCAGCAATTACTAATCTTACAACAATCACATAGTATTTATCAGAGGATTTAGATAAACAAAATGCAGTACACGTGATCTATACAATTTTCTCTAATAATAAGAAAAATGCCTTTCTGCGTTTTGAAAAATTTTAGAGGAGAGAAGAAAAACGTTATTTTTTAACAAATACATTATTACTGTTCTTCTTCACATCTAACACATATAACTTTAAATGTAACAGAAACAAAAATTATTCCCACGCGTTACTCATTTAAACAAAAGTGTGGGAGCTAGGCAAATTTGTCTTTGGCAACTGTCAAATAGGAAATCGGCAAATTTCTATTATTTCAATTTAAAATTAATAGGTTAAGTAGCCACTCTGAAGTTTTGTCAGAAGGTGGCTTAGACGTTATTCTAATAGATGGCATCTAAATCCCATTTTCGCAAAAAAGTGGAGTTAGGCACTTTTCTTATTAGGGCGACGATATATGGAATAGGTAATTCTATTTTGTTAAATACATTTTCAGAATTTGATTTAACTCTGATATCAAACAGTTTCTTAATTCATATTAAAGTAATAGAAGT